ACCTCAGCTTACATGTTGTGTAGACCATATCTTCAGTAATAATTATTGTGAGTTTATATCACTCTGGTTTCATGCCATAGACAACAGTAGACTGAAATTTTAAGTGGCACACATCCCAGACAAGAGCAGGTTGTGTCCATGATTGTGAGTAAAATGAGTAAAAAGTATTCATCTGTGACAGTACATTTATGTTTTGTTTATAGAAGCAGTAACTGAATCTCTATTAAGTGGCATTTGGTACAATGAGTTGTTTAAAGCCTCTTCTCTTGAACTTGGGAATGGAAAATGGAAGGAAAGTTTCAGTATGAGTGTCAGGCAATTTTATCTAGGGTCAAATTTGTGGAGTTATTTCACCTGGTTTCAGCATACTGTAATATTAATCAGAACCTGATAGCTGCCAACACTCACTGTATATTTTCATTGATATTGGAAGACAGAGCTTTGTGCATGGTCTGCCAGGGTTCTATCCGTTGGACAAATCTGCCTTAACACTTACATGGACAATGTTAGCACTGGGCAGCATTTAATGCTCACACTGTACAAAATTATAGGTTTTACATTCTTCTGATTTCACTGTATCATCTTACATCTTATTCTCGGTGTAAATTCATTATACATTTCATTGTAACAGACTGCTTAGTGTAAGAGTTAGCAAATATGTCAGATGTGTGTTAAAAATCCTTAAATCCTGGATCTTTTCTGGAAGTGAAGGCACATCTCTGTAATCTTGAGCTCAACATGATTTGCATAGTGAGTTTTGAGACAGTCGGAGCTACAAAGTGACTCCCAGTTTTGTAAAATAATAATAAAGAAGAGTGAATAAATGCTGAATTTTCAAAGAAATGTTGCTGCTGCCATTGCATTCCCACTGTGTTCTTTTTACTTCAGTTGTCAGTAAAATTTTAGATGATTCTATGATTGCATCAATAAAGAAAGAAACTTTAAAAAAAGAAATGTTTTAGCAACTTAGTGTCCATGTCATGGTATCAGCTTCTAATCACATATTATTGATTCCTTTTATATGTTTTCCAGATTAATAGTGTTAGTAATTCCTCTGTGTACCTAACATAATCATCATCCCAGAAATGTTAGCAATTCATATTCTTGGTGACATCATAAAGATCAGGTCCATCCTGTACTTCTGAAACCAAACTGGGAGATGGGACAGTTTTATGTCAGGTCAGACCATCCTGAGAACAATGACCTCTGAACCTCTAGACTTTGACATTTACCTAACAGATAATACTTCATGTAAATGTGTAAACTTATTTGTTCAATATTTTTCTTTATTTTGTGTTAATGTCTGTTTTCCCTGAATGTAACTATGAGCGCTGTGAGAATTCAGTGCTTTTATAGGCCAAAAGATGAAGACAAGCCCCTGAAATTGGAATTGTAGGCAGATATATGGCATATTGGAATTGTAGGCAAATATATGGCACCCTGTGGGTGCTGGATACCATCATAGGATCCACTGCAGGACCTGCACGTTTTTCCTCAGCACTGAGCCACCTTTCTATTCACCCCAAATGAAAACTTTTTACAGCACAAGGCATACAATAGGATACCAAAAACATAAACAGAAATCAAGTGAAGAACACAAACTGCAAAGAAGGGTGTAGTATGCTGCAGATCTCCCATCATGGTTTTGTAAGCACAGCCTGAGGTGACTGTGTTTCTGTAACACGTTCCTAGTACAAGTCTTTGCACTGTTCACTGTGACTCTAAGCAATTTTTGGATGTATAGAGTCTCATGCCCTTGGGATTCTTAGTTCAGTACTTTAGAAATAATGATATTGTCTAGATCTCACAGTTTTAACCATTAAAGAAGGTGAAAACCTGAGCTCATGGCAGTGACTCATAAATTGTCATTGCTGTTTTACACTTACACCAGCTATATATAACTCACAAAATTGTGCTTTCCATTATTCAATTACCACTTTATAGAACCTTAGAAAGTGAATGTTTTCCTGTGAGAATTCAAGATGTTTATGTATCTAACCACTGTGATCACACTCTACCTTCTGTGAAGAATCTATAACCAGTGTGATCACACTCTACCTTCTTTGCAGAATCCATCAATTCTAAAAACAAAGGTCCATGTCCATTAACAGATTTTTCTTAGTGACCTCTCTGATGAAGCATGAAAGTAGTTTCTCGCTGTAGTTGATGCTGGTACCTGTCTCTTTTATTTAACACCTTACTTCCCTACAACAGATGCAGTAGGATCCCAAATATTTGGCAAGCAAGTGGAATAGATTCCTCTTGTTCCTTGTCATTCAAGGATTCTCTATCACCACCACAGCTCTTACAATGAACCATCTTGTCAATAATTTAATTTCCTTCCTCACATATGTGGCAGGGTAGGTGAAGGGGTATGAATTTCCTAGAATGTTCCTGGCCTCTCAGTAAGAAAATGTCCTAGGTAGGTGGAACTTTGAACACTTTCCATGGATACTGGGTTTCCATAATCTGCCATCATGGTTTTGTAAGAACAGCCTGAGGTGACTGTGTTTCTGTAACACTTTCCTAGTACAAGTCTTTGCAGTGTTCACTGTGACTCTAAGCAATTTTTGGATTTATAGAGTCTCATGTCCTTGGGATTCTTAGTTCAGTACTTTAGAAATACTGATATTGTCTAGATCCCACAGTTTTAACCATTAAAGAAGGTGAAAACATGAGCTCATGGCAGTGACTTATACATTGTCATTGCTGTTTTACAATTACACCAGCTGTATTTAACTAACTAAAATGTATTTTCCATTTTTCACTTACCACTTGGTAGAATTTTAGATAGTGAATATTTTCTTGGGAGAATGGAAGATGTCAAAGGATTTAACCAGTGTGATCACACTCTACTTTCTTTGCAGAATCCTCCAATTCTGAATACAAAGGTCCATGTGCATTATCAGATTTTTTTAGTGACCTCACTGATGAAGCATGAAAGTAGTTTCAGGCTGAAGTTGATGCTGGTTCCTGTCTCTTATGTTTAACATTGCTCTTACTTCCCTACAGCAGATGCAGTAGGATCCCAAATACTTGGCAAGAAAGTGGAATAGATTCGTCTTGCTCATTGTCATTCAAGGAGTCTCCAACACCACAACAGCTCTTACAATGAACCAACTTGTCAATAATTTAATTTCCTTCCACACATATGTGGCAGGGTAGGTGAACTGGCATGAATTTCCTAGAATGTTCCTGGCATCTCAGCAAGGTAATGATCCTAAGTGCGTGGAACTTTTAACAGTTTCCAGAGATACTGCGTTTTCATTTGTCCCGTGTTGAACACTGACTGTATTAAAGTTTGTTAAAGCCGAACCCTGCACTCCGGAAAGATGGTCCAACCCTTTAACAAGGCAAGTGTAAATCAATCTTCAAGGCAGGTGCAAGGGGAGTTGATACTGCCCCACCTGAGGTAGGTGGCCAGAGTCTCTCAGAATAACCTGCTACCACTCAAACCCAGATTCAGTCCTTGAGTTGCTCCAACCCAACATCTACCCCATCTAGAACCTCATGCTTGAGCTTTTGATGGGCCTTGTCCTATGGAACAATACTTATGGTATCTCCAAGAGTTGTGGACCTGCCACAGAATAATACCCTAGAGGAATTCCAGTGAGGATCTGGTGGAAATGGTTTACCAGAAACTAGAGGCTTTAACCAGACCACTGGAATAAATATTTGCTTAAAAGAACCATCTCATTGAGGATCTTTTAAAACCTCTTATTGGTCCCATTGTAATTTTCTGGGCTTGCCACACACTAAAACCCACATTCAAATTTAAAAGCTAAGAAACAACAATAACACAATGTATACTGTGATCCTTCTCAGTGTGTATTTCCTCACATAATAAAATACTTTCAATTTTCTTCTGTATGCATTCTCTAGGGTGTTTCTCCAGTGCACAAATAAGGGGAAACTGCTATTACCTGGTAATTCCTAAGGTCATCAGTTTGTTTCATATCCTTCATATTCTGAAATAATTATGCCAACTGATTTTTCTTATATGGATCAATGGCGAGTGGATCAATGGCACCCTTCCTGAAGCTTCTTGGTTCATCCTGGTACTAATTCACAACTGCTTCTCCCTACTTACTCAATGGAATCTCTCCCTAATTAAGAGGGCTTCAGACACATTCTCTAGAAGGAATAGAATATATTGTCCTGAGAGTCTTCACCCTGTGAAGTGATCGGCTATCTGACCCAGTGCCTTTTCTTCTCCCATTTAGAATCCAGAATTCTGATTAGGCCACATTATCCCATAGTTTCATCAGGGATTGAACATTCCTATATTAGCTTTCATTCTTCAGATGGTGACATCATCCTTACCATTTCAGCTGACGTATTTCTGGGGGGCTATCATCCCATTGAATGTCCACAGTGCTCTGAGAGTCCTAACCTGAGTGTGTACATATCTGTGTTTGCACTATGTGGTGTGACTTGCATAAATGGTAGCTCTTAACATAAGATAGTAGTTGTTAATTGAACCATCATTTGAATACATTTTATGCTTTTAATAAAATGTTCTTATGTAGCTGTAGAAATTACTAGAATAATATTATTAATGTTTCATCTATCAGATTTTAATTGAAATGAGATATACTATAGGAATTGGTATTTTATTTAGTTTGATACAAGTCACTGAAATTGTCTTCTTTAACACCATGGTTAGAAAATGGAAGTTTATTCTCACTGTCTTCACTATGCTTCCTGGTATTGCCTCTTATACCAATTGCTTCTAACAGGCCAAATTAAATTTCCCACAATGTGACATATTCTGTGTTTATGAAGGCAGATCACCAATTCACATAGCATGATGAGGCCTTTAGCCATCTTAAAGTCTATTACATTGTAAGTAAAAATTGATACCATCATTAATTTGGAGAAACTTTGTTATGTAGCCTAGTCTGGTTTGGTGATTTCCCCTCTCTGCAGATTTTGGGTTATTAATATTTTTCAATCATTTTGACTGGAGAAATGTCTTTGTCTGTTATCTAAAGAGAATCATGCCCAAAAGCAAAATGTATATCTGGACTCTGATCATCAAATTAATTTTTTTGTCACTAACTACAACGGGAATTCTGGGAAATTTCTCTCTGTTTTACTACTATCTAATCTGCTATGGAGAATGCAAATTAAAGACTGTAGATTTGATTCACATTCACCTAATGGCAGCCAACACCTTGATCATTCTCTCTAAAGGAGTGCCCCACACGATGGCAGCTTTTGGTTTGAAGCAATTTTTAAATGATATTCAATGCAGATTACTTTTGTACATTGTAAGAGTTGGCCGAAGTATGTCCATTGTCATCACCTGCTTCTTGAGTGTCTTCCAGGCCGTCACCATCAGTCAGAAGGAATCCTGTTGTAAGGATCAAAAAGTCAAAGCTGCTAAGTACATTAGCTGCACCCTTTCCATTCTCTGGGTCTCATACATTTTGATACATTTCATTTTCTTTGTGAATCCACTCATGAAAAGTTATAGTATCAATATGACAAATAAACGAGATTTTGGACACTGCTCTACTGCAGGGCGGGATGGAATCAATGACTCACTCTATGCAGCATTGGTTATGTGCCCTGAAATCTTCTTTTCGTTGCTCATGGCCTGGTCTAGTGGCTCCATGATTGTCATTCTGTATAGACACAAGCAAAGAGTTCAGCACATCCGAAGCACTTGTGGTTCCAGCAGAACCTCCCCTGAGTCCAGAGCCACCCAGAACATCCTGGCGCTGGTGTCTACATTTCTGGCTTTTTATACTCTCTCTGCTATATTACAAGGCTGTGTGGCTCTTTTGTCTAATTCTAGTTGGTGGCTGGTGAACATCAATCATGTCACTTCTCTGTGTTTTCCTTGTTTTGGACCCTTTATTCTTATGAATCATTACTCCATGCCTAGTCTCAGCTTGGTCTGGATAAGGAATGTAAGCACACTCATTCTTAAGTATGTAAATGATATAATTCATATGGTATCCAGTTGTTTAGTCACCCATCTCCCTCACAAAGTCAGTGCAGAAAGTTAAGTAGGTAGTGCCCTGTCCTTTAAGTATTAATGTAAATGACATGTGTCAGAGTTTTGTCAGCTGGTTGAATTGGCTGTCCACATTAGCCTTTCCCACTGTATGAGGAAGATTTCACTCTTCAACTTTCAGCTTTAAGTCTTCCCTTTGTCTAGCTGATGTATAAAAGAACTAGCAAAATTGTTCTCAATCAAGCTACCCTTCTCTGGCTTTCATTTGTCCAGGGCATGCTGAGTGTTGGTTACTTCACAGAAATCTCATGGGTCATAAAGTCCATCTGCAAAGAAAACTAATACAGTGGCTGGCCTGGAAGTTGTGTTTCAGGAGTCCCTGTCTATTTACAACTGTTCATGTCTTCAGAACTACCAGTAAACTTCTTCAGCCATAACTTCCTACATACCCTACTTTCAGCTGCTGTAGAGACAATCACATGGGCTTGCTCTGAAGCTTGTACCAACAGTCTTCAGCAACATCTCCAAACAGATCATCTACCCCAGACCACTTAGTGAAAAACTATTTTCAATATTTTACCTCATACAGAAATTGAGTGGAAATAAATGGTGGTCTCAATGTTATCTTTATTTTTGGCCAATATTTCTGAGAAATTTTGAATCTATGTTCATCAGCACGATTAGAATATAAGTTTCTGTTTTATTATTGTGTTTTTACCTGGTTTGGCAGCAGTATAATGTGGACTTCAATAAAGTTTGGAAAATATTTCATGCATACTTTATAAAATCGATTTTGAGGTTCTTCACAACAATAAATAGAACTGCTATATGTCCCAACTTTTACCCTCATGGAACTATGCCAAGAATACTAAATTTATTATTTCCATAGAAATTAGTGCCGACCCATGTTTATAAGCTGCTCTAGGTACGTGGAAATTGAGCCAACATTTATATCCATGAATATATAAATCAATAATCAAATTTGTGCTTACACATAAAATGGTATACTCATAAACTATTGTGAAACATGAAATCACAAAATTGTAGGAAAATTGAAGGACTTATAATAAATAATATTAAGCCAGGTCTTACAAACTCAGAAGACAAATCACATGTTGTCTTCCTATAAGGTGTGGATCTGCATATGTGTATAGTAGAGTGTAAATTTGATTTCAGGTTTTGAAAAAAAACAAAGAAAAATAATGTTACGCAATGGCAAGGAAACTAATTTATGACTTATGGAAGAAGATATCAAGGTAATTATATTTTCTCTTGTGAACCCTGCCATTTTTTCATCCTGTGGTGGATAAAGGCATAAAAATATGTTTGGTAAAGACAGTGTAAAACCATGAACAATGCT